AAGACTACAATTTTATATGAATCTCAGGTGTGCAGATGTTTGTGTGCAAGACACAATTTATATGAATCTGCAGGTGTGCAGATGTTTATGTGCAAGTACCAATTTTATGTGAATCTGCAGGTGTGCAGATGTTTGTGTGCAAGACACAATTTTATATGAATCTGCAGGTGTGCAGATGTTTGTGTGCAAGACACAATTTTATATGAATCTGCAGGTGTGCAGATGTTTATGTGCAAGACACAATTTTATATTTCACTGTTGTTGTTTTGGATGGAAATATAATCATCTAGTTAACAAAATATCATATCTACTTTCTTATTCTTCTGACTTGTTGCTCAGTTTATTTTAACCAAATAAAATTAAACGTTTCAGGAGTGGATGATGGTAATGACCTTGATCGAGATATGCTGACAGGAATCTATGAAAGAATAAAGGCAAGTGAGTTTAAACCAGGGTCAGACCATGTGACACAGGTGATGAAAGTTCAACAGACCATAGTTGGCAAGAAACCAGTAAGTTTATTTATTTTCTTTGCTTAAAAGTTAAAGTGTTGAGAGGTTAATAACAAATAATCTGCCAGTATAATTTTCTTTTGTATTGCGGTTACATAGTTTTCACATTTGCATAAGAGAATGATACTTCAGTGATTAAAAGAAAAAACAAGTTACTCTTTTGGTTCCAGTTAGAAATCTCGTTAGATGTTCAGGCATTAACCATATGTACATTGGGGGGAGGGGCATACCTCGACTTCGTACAGAGTACCATTTAACATGATATTATGCATTTGATGTTGGAATTGAATTATCAACATTTCATGTTACCTTATATTGCTGGTTTCACAACAGTTTGTATTAGAAAAAATATCATGTACAGTATAGAGGGATAATGAAAAAACTATAGTTATGTATTTAGGAGGTTGTAGAGGTTATGCAAATTCAAGTTGCAAACTCTATGATGGATAAAAGGGGTTTTATTCTTCACATGAACATCACCTTGCACTTGAACTTGTCAGAGTCTAACTCAAACTGACTTCATTATTTCACAGACATATCTTTAGCACAAACATTTTTAACACATCTGATTTTTTTGTGTACAGCAGACTATAATTCTGAATTTACTATGTGTATCTTCACAAAACGTGGCAAGCCTTTAGTCAGACTTGTACTGTTGATTAAAGGCTTGCCACATTTTGTGAAGATACACATAGTAAATTCAGAATTATAGTCAACATTACTTCTCCAATATAGAGTCAATTCATAAGACTGACAGTATGTAAATTAAGTTCAAAAAACATCAATTATCTGCATTGGGCTTTTGTCTTTAACATCTAAACTCGGAAGTTATTAAATCTAAGAATGTTTTTTTCTATCTTTACTGTAAATAATAGCTGTAAAGACTCTTCTTGATTGTTCTAAAGTTACAGGTGTTTAAAATTGTTAAAGTAATTCAAAGTGTTGATGTATCATCTTTTTTTATTTACTTATTTAAGTTAATTTAGTGGATTGGACAGCCTAGATGTTACATGTTATGTTATATCATGTACTACTTAGTGAACCAAAGTGACTGTAGAATACACAAATTGTTGCACTGGTATTCTTTATACTGAAGTGACCCTAAGGTTTAATATAGTAGGCATCAATTTCATAATATTTACTTTGTTCTCAAGTGTCTGTAGAGTTTAGTGTGCTGGAACTTAATGTTATAGTGTTTACTTTGTTCATAAGTAACGTAACTTTACGATTTTATAATATTGTGAAACCTTATTCTTAAGTGACTGTGGAATTTATTATGGTAAAATTTAATTTTATAATGTTTACTTTGTTCTCAAATAACTACAGAGTTTAAAATGCTGTAATATAACATAAAAGTATTTACTATGTTCCTAAGCGATAGCTGTCTTTAAAATGCTGGAATTTTAACATTGTAGTGTTTATTCTCGAGTGACTGTATGTCATACTGGTTCATAATGTTTTCCTGAAAACATGGTGTATGTAACATCAAACTTCCCGGAAGGCGTATTCATGTTTATTTCTGGTTAACGCTGACATACTTCAACAGATAGTGCAGCTCAGTTACTACCATGACCGTAGCTGACTGCTGAGAGGGAATGGTAGTTGGACTTGACAAATTAAGGGTTTAAGTACTTGGGTTCTACCATTGCTAACTGAATGTTTTATTGTTGTTGTTTTTGTAATCTTTCACATTTTTCACCCATGTTTGACAAATGCTAATAAAATTAGACACCTATAACACTTTTATTGGTTCCTCTCATTGTATTTTTGATGTCAAACCTTTTGCAGTTTTTCCTGCATCTTGTACAACTTTTTTGGTGCTGTTTTATATAATAGTTTTTAATTAACATACACAGAATATGATCATAAAGAAAACTACGTATCTGTAATGATTATGTATTGAAATCTAGAAGTTATAAAACAAGCTCTCCTCCAGATTCTTGAAATTAATGAAGTACAAATAGACAATGCCAACAACATTAACTTTTTCAACTGACTCACAGGCTATAGTTGGTCCCTAGATGGATGGCAGAAATTGCTAGTAAGGTGAAAACATCGATCAGAGGGAATGAAATTGATGGGAATCGTAGTACCATATGTTGCAGCTAGGAAGGGCAAAAGATGGGGTATCAGTGTGACCGTGGGAAACTAGAAGACCACTAGTTTCAGTAAACAAATTCTTCTAGCCCTTGCACATAAAGGGTCAGTGCCTGTCAATGCAAACCCTGGGATTGTCATGTAGTACTCAACTGAGCTTGATCTTATCATGACCAATTGATTATTTCAAAATGATGATATATTGTTGTATAAAGCTATCAATATCTTATGCAATAAACACAAACAAACATATTGTTGATTGTGAGAAAGTAGTCTAGTTTACAGCAATATTACCTGGAAAGTACTTTGTTTTAAAAAATCTTATATTTGTGAATGTGAAATGATGTTTAAATGAGACAGTTTTGTTCTGGTAAAAATGGCCTTATTCTTTATGGTAATTAAGTTTACACTTGAAAATTGACATCATTCAGAACTTTGTACTTTGTAACATTCAAGTTATATATATTGAAACATAAAATTACAACTATATAGTACAAGCAAAAGCACCTGCCCCAAGTGATGGGAAAGTTTAGGTTAATTTATCCATTTAAATTATTTCATGGACTTTAAAAAGGTTAATAGTGTTGCACTCTTGTTTCTCACTGAGTGCCAAAGCTCTGAGCTACTTATGCTGCCCACTGCAAAAAGTATTGTTGTGCATTTCATTCATG